CAGTAAGAGTTATAAGGAAGAATGACAGTAAAGACCCTATGTGAATCGATTATTATATGTTACAACGGCCTGCCAAACATGATCCTGCTTCCTAACTGACCACTTCCGTGTGGGAATGTCGTGTTGTTGTTGTTGTTTCATGTTACAGGTCAGCTGGAAACGTCGCGCCATTCGCTTGTTAAATGTTATTGTTAATATTACAGACTTGTGTTATTCAGAGGACACAAAACTGGAGTCTCTAAACAGCGTTGTAGCATGTTAGCATTGTTTCATTAGTGTCCGGTGAAGGCTAACGACAGCTAATAGCTAGCAGGCTAACAAAGCAGGCTTTTTACGATGAAGCATTGCTAGCTTACATGTCCACTCCCTTTAGCCATACGATAAATACATTCACTGCTACTTATAACGATATCGTCGGTTTTAACTCGTTTTAATACAATAAAAGCGCAATATGGGGTAGCTAAAGTCTATGGATGTTGCACGCGTTGACAGTTCATGTTTTGGACTCTGACAGTCATCTCGGGCTGGTTACACACACCGCTTCAATCATATTATTCCACGGAGCTGAAGATAGTCAGGGGGGCTTAACTTAATGCTTGAGTAGATTTAATGTTTTGACTGCATTAACCCAAGAGTCATGATATGATGGTGCTGCGGAGGTTACTGAGGAAGCGCTGGGTGTTGGGGGTCGTCTTTGGATTGTCCCTCATTTACTTCCTGACCAGCACTCTAAAACAGGTACACACACACACACACGCACGCACGCACGCACGCACACACACACACACACATCTTTGTATTTGCATCAAACTGAGGACATTACATTGACTTCCATTCATTTTTGTAACTGTATTTATGCCTAACCCAGATATTTTCCCTAAAATTAACCATTACTGGTCTATAGTGAACCTTAACCAAAATTTATTTCACACCATGCCTCTAAACCTAACTAGTAAAGCACAGCAGAGCTGCAAACAAAGTGARGACATTGAAGAGGTCCTCACTTTACATCAAAGACCTCATTTTGATAGTAACTATGGCGCAAATGGGCCTCACTCTGTA